CCATCTGGTCCCCTGTGTGACAGAGGCTTGGGTAGATGCCTGGTCCCTTTAAGAGTCCTGAGCCAGGGCATGGTGAATGAGTGATCCCTAAGCCCAAGCTGGGTTGGAACTGTGTTCTCTGGGGGAATCGAGTGGCTGCCTGGCATCTTCGCTTTGATACTGACACCGGCATTTTAATAGCTGCGACCCATCAGGCTGGTGGTGTTTCAGTCCTGACCACACAGGGCATTCCAGGAGGCCCTGGCTACCAGCCAAGAGAGCATGCGGCCCCTCTGTGTAGAGGGGCAGGGATCTATCACCCCCAACCAAGGCCACAGAAAGTGTCCCACCCACCCACCTCCATCCTTATTCTGGGGTCTCTCATTAGGGCCTCCACAACTCATGATACCCAGGGCCCAGGACTAGTGAGTTAAGCAACCAAAGCTGGTCACCCGGGAGGGAAGGTGTGTCTTGGTGACCTGGGTCACTCATTCCCATCTGAGGGGATTTGGCCCTCACTCCACACCTGACTGAATTAGTCATAGCCTACATGCCCCCCCCCCAGCTCCCCATTGCTGTGGGGCCGAGTCAGGCTCACTGTGATTTGTAAGTAACCAGTGTTTACTGAATGCCTGCTGTATGTCAGGATCTGTTGTAGGCACATGGTGACAAAGAACACAGAACTTATGGGTTTGTCTCCCTGTGAATTTGTCTTCTGTTGGCAAAGGGGAGACAATAAAGGAGAGGGAGGGAGGGTGGGGGCATTAGGTTGTCAAGGTCATTGGTCTAGAGTTGTGCCTGCGGCAGGTTCTGGGGATGGGGAGAAGGACTGATCTTGGTGTGTCTACAAGGCAGAAGATGGGGGTGTTTACTGGCTGGGTGTGTGAGGAAGAGAGTCATCAGTGGTAAGCTGGAGAATGGGGGGACACTGAGTTGACTCTGATGGGAGGGATGGGGCAGCGGGTGGCGGCTCAGTCTTGGAACTGAGCTGGCAAAGAATGACCTGTCAACAAGCAGCTAGTCACATGACCCAGAGAGAGGTCCAGGCTGGAGGTGGGGATATGAAGCTGTCACCAATCGTTGTAGTAGTTTGGATAAGAATAGACCTATAGGCTCATATATGTTTGAATGCTTAGTCACCAAGGAGTGGAACTGTTTGAAAGGGTTAGGAGGTGTGGCCTTGTCGGACAAAATATGTCACTGGGGGTGGGCTTTGAGGTTTCAGAGGTCCATGCCAGGCCCAAGTGCTTGTGCACTCTCTCTCCCCCTCTCCCTCTCTCCCTCTCTCCTTCTCCCCCCTTTTTGCTTGCAGATCAGGATGCTCAGTTCCTTCTCCAGCACACCTAACTTGCCACCATGCTCCCTGCTATGACAGTAATAGACCAAACCTCTGAAACTCTAAGCAAGGCCCCAATTAAATGCTTTCTTTCCTAAGAGCTGCCTTGGCCATGGTATCTCTTCACAACAATAAAACACTGGCTAAGACACTCAGAGACAATATTAAAGACCCAAGACCAAGCAAGGTCTTGGAAACCAGTGCATAGAGGACCGAAGTCAGGCCCTGAACCATGACCCTGTGATCTGCAACATTTAGGCAGAAAATAGGCAAGATGGAGCCAGCAAAGGAGAAAGAGAGGAGCCAGCCAGGGTAGAAGGAGGAGAACTTTGGGAGCCAAGTGCAGGATGTATTTGCATGGGGGATGGAGAAGAGAAGTGTTTAAATATACCACAGGTTAAGGAGGACAAGGATTGACCACCGGACTCAGCATCCTACCACAGGCTAAGGAGGACAAGGACTGACCACCGGATTCAGCATCCTACCACAGATTAAGGAGGACAAGGACTGACCACCGGACTCAGCATCCTACCACAGGCTAAGGAGGACAAGGACTGACCACCGGACTCAGCATCCTACCACAGGCTAAGGAGGACAAGGACTGACCACCGGACTCAGCATCCTACCACAGGCTAAGGAGGACAAGGACTGACCACCGGATTCAGCATCCTACCACAGGTTAAGGAGGACAAGGACTGACCACCAGACTCAGCATCCTACCACAGGCTAAGGAGGACAAGGATTGACCACCGGACTCAGCATCCTACCACAGGCTAAGGAGGACAAGGACTGACCACCGGACTCAGCATCCTACCACAGGCTAAGGAGGACAAGGACTGACCACCAGACTCAGCATCCTACCACAGGCTAAGGAGGACAAGGACTGACCACCGGACTCAGCATCCTACCACAGGTTAAGGAGGACAAGGATTGACCACCGGACTCAGCATCCTACCACAGGTTAAGGAGGACAAGGACTGATCACCGGACTCAGCATCCTACCACAGGTTAAGGAGGACAAGGACTGACCACCGGACTCAGCATCCTACCACAGGCTAAGGAGGACAAGGACTGACCACCGGACTCAGCATCCTACCACAGGTTAAGGAGGACAAGGACTGACCACCGGACTCAGCATCCTACCACAGGTTAAGGAGGACAAGGACTGACCACCGGACTCAGCATCCTACCACAGGCTAAGGAGGACAAGGACTGACCACCGGACTCAGCATCCTACCACAGGCTAAGGAGGACAAGGACTGACCACCGGACTCAGCATCCTACCACAGGCTAAGGAGGACAAGGACTGACCACCAGACTCAGCATCCTAGAGCAGTGGTCAGCCACCAGAAGGCAACTGTCTGCCAAGCAGGGAGGGGTGAAGGTAGCCAGGTGTCCTGCTTGGTTTTGTTTTCTTTTGGGGGGTGTGTGTGAGGAGGGGGCAAGCGAGAGAGCTTGACACAAGCTGGAGTTATCTGGGAAGAGGAACCTGGATTGAAAAAATTCCTCCATCAGATTTCCTGTAGGCAGGTCTGTAGGGCATTTTCTTCATTAATGATTGATGAGGGAGGGTCCAGTCCACAGTGCTGACTAGTGTTTTGTTTTGTTTTTCCAAGATAGGGTTTCTCTGTGTAGCCCTGGCTGTTCTGGAACTCGTTCTGTAGATGAGGCTGGCCTCAAACTCACAGGGATCCACCTACCTCTGCCTCCCAAGTGCTCAGATTAAAGGCATGCATCACCACTGCCCAGTTAGTGCTGGCTAGTTTTATGTCAACTTGACACAAGCTACAGTCACTGGAGAGAAAGGAGCTTCAACTAAGAACAATAAGATAGGACTATAGGCAAACTTGTAAGGTATTTTCTTAATTAATAATGGATGGGGGGAGGGCCAATCCCATTGTGGTTGGTGCCACCCCTGGGTCTATAAGAGAGTGGACTGAGCAAGTCTTGGGGAACAAGTCAGTAAGCTGTACCCCTCCATGGCCTCTACATCGGCTCCTGCCTCCGGGTTCCTGCCCCGATTGAGTTCCTGTCCTGGCTTCCTTCAGTGATGTACTATAATGTGGCAGTCTAAACCAAATAAACCCTTTCCTCCCCATCTTGCTTTTTAGCCATGGAGTTCATCAGAGTAATAGAAAGCAAACCAGGACAGACACTGGTACCAAGAGGTATGCTGCGTAGGAAGGAGTTTGGAACTTTGAGCTGGAAAAGCTGTTGAGTGCTTGAGCTTAATGGGCTGGTCTGTGGGACTCGGAAGAGATTGTCGAAGGTGGTGCAGACCCTGGAGGCTGGCTTGTGGAGTTTCAGAGGGAAGCTGGAGAGCTCTTCAGAGACCCCTTCAGGGTTGTTTGTGTGGCATTTTGAATCGAGAATCTCTGGTGTCTGGTCAGCCGTGATTAACCAGAGGCCAGTGCCACTAAAGTGAGACCTCTGTTTTGCTGGGACAGTTGATGCCCTTCAGCTAGAGCTGAGAAAGCCCAGCATCATGGAGGTGAAGTCTTTGGGAATTATCCAGATTTTGGGGGGGGCAGAATAAGGCTGCATCTCCTTGGTAGCCATATTTGGTAAATGTGTAAGAGTCACCCATGTATTACTGGTCTTGGCAACATGAGAGCTTCTAGATTGACAGAGTCATGGAGAGCAGCTTGGTACCAGCAGAGGCCGGGAGAAGCCATTGGTGAAGGTAGCCTCAGTTGTAGTAGAGACCCTAGGTTTGAAGTCGTCATCAGGAAAAGTTGAGACTTGCCTCCATGTGATAGCGCCAGAAAACCCAGGCCATTGGTAACGTGCAGCCTGTGGAGGTGCCAGGATCATGGAATGGTCACCAAAGACAGAAGCAGCGGTGACATGGAGCCGGACTAAGCCTGTGAAATACACTCTGTATGCTGTGAATGACAGAGCTATAGAAATGGGGTCTCCGGAGGGGGCTCAGTCAACCCCTGAGGTACCCAGGCTGACCTAACAAGGCTCATGTAAGAGTCCCGTGTGAGGCATATAGCGCATGGCCGTCTACAGAGAGGGCATATAGACACTGGCTTGCATAAACAGTCTACCATGTGCTGCCATTTTATATGCATGGATTTGATTGCTGTCATGTATTTACAACTTCCTTAGACTTAAGGTATCCCATCTCCTTAGGGCCTTCCAGACTAGCTCTGTGGTCTCAAAGTGTGGAGGAAGAGGTTTGGTGGAACAGGGTGTCTAGGGCCTGCTCAGCCTCCCCGGCCCCCCCATCACCCACCCCTGTCCACCATGCTGGCCTTGAGGGATCAGAAGGCTTTGTCCCTGCCCAGGTGCCCCACTGGAGAAGGAAAACAATAACAAAGATCTAAGAAACGTGTGCCATCAAGTCACCACGGGCAGCCACTAGTTCACAGGGCCCTGAGCAGAGCCTGCTGACGATAGCAGATGCTGCAATGTCTGTGATAAGGTTCATCCTACTTCCTGTCACCCACATGAGGAGAGCTTGAGAGCTCTTCAAAGACTATCAGGGCTGTTCATGTGGCCATGAACCGCCAGGCTTTGATCCCAGAACAGTTCTGTTTTACCTCCACCACCCCACCAGCCTGCATCCCTTTGTTGTCCCCTCCCCCCCCCCATGCACTCCCCTTCATCCCCACTGCTGGTTTTCCAAGGCTGGAGCTTCTGTGAGCTCCTGGTGATTTGTCTTGTCTTTTTCGTGCAGAAATGGAAGTTCTACTCACGCAGACGCCGGGAGGCTCCGAAGATGTCTCCGGGATGTAACTGCCCACCAGGTAAGGAGCCCTGCAAATGGGGTAAAGCCAGATCGGCATCCCTTGGTCGGGCACCACACCTCAGAGCTCCTACTTGCGGTTCTGTCCAGCTCGGCTACCACCTCTCATTGGGTCACTCTCCGTCTTCCTGCGGATGAGTCTGCCTGTCTTCCATCCTTTCCTCCAGCCCCTTCTTTCATTCCTCTCTCCCTCCGTCCATTCGTGTACCCGTCCATCATTTATTAATCTATGCATGCACCCGTTCATCAATTCCTCACCTGCCTGAAACTTAAAGTAGAGTAAGTGAAAAAGCCTGTCTCTTGGTGGATGTGGACAGGTTGTGAAATTCATGACAGGCTATGCAGAGTCCAAGGGAAAATCAGCACAGCAAATGTGGGGACTCTTCTTACCGCGTCACTGTTGTCCCTTCCATTTCTGAAGGCGTAGTAGGTGCAAAAGAATATCTATCACCTGAATGGATGGATAGCCCTGGGGTGTTGAAAGTATAAACTGGATTCAGATTCTGCTTTGGCTATTTTCTGGCCTTGCTTGAGTAGATCTAGGATGCCTCGGGGCCTTTGCTCATACAGTCTGCTCCCCAGCTGTCTCTTTCTGTATTCAAAGACGTATGCAGAGTGTCTTCTCAGTGCAGGCATTGGGTTCAAGCGCACTGTCACCATTGATATGTGAGTGTGTGTGAAGACTCCTCCAGCTTCTGACCATGTTCATTAAGCTAATGACAGAGGAGGGATTGGCACTGTTTTTGACTGGGCTATAATTTGAAGGAACAGAAAGACAGTTTTTGGAGGCGTTGCCTGCTCGGGGTCTCCTAGTGCATACTGAAGCCTTCTATGTAACTGTGGTGGGCAATGGCCCTGGGAAGTCTCCCGGGAAGGTCCTCCCTGGCATTAGAAGCTTACAACCTTCTAGAAATCCTCCACAGATTCCCCAAGTCAGGGAAGAGAGACTGACAGATGTTAAATGTATAAATCGCCTTTTCCCTTGCTGTGACCTCCAGGGAGAAAGGGCTTGTTTTGGCTCCCAGTTGGAGGAGGTACAGTCTGTTGTGATGGGCAAGGCCCCGCCAGAGTCAGCCGCTGCCTGTGGCAGTAAGAGGCTGTTTGTTCACATCTCAGCAGATCAGGGGAGGGAGTGGGAAAGAGTAGATTTCTCAGCTTGCTTTTCCCCCTTTTTATTCATTCTGGAATCCTACTTTGTGGGGTGATGCCCAGTATGGGTCTACCCTCATCATCTAAGCCTCTCTGGAAATGCCCTCACAGGCACACCCTGAGATGTGTTTCCTTGGTGATGCTAAACCCACTCAACCCAACAGCTATGATTAGCCAGCACACTAAGCATACAGGTACAATGGAGGTTCCTGGTGGCCAGGCGTAAATGGCTGGTGCACTATCCCTGAAGATGTGACGCCGTGATAAGAGTCACTGGTCCCATAAGCTGCTTGTCTGGATTTATTTGAAGGGTTTCCAGAGCCCCAGGAAGCCAGCTCATCTTTCTGAGCTTAGGAGCTTGGACCCCAGAGTTGGAGAAGGTTTTCTGCTAGATCCTTGAGATGCCAGGATTAGTAAGCTCAGATGTAGGTGATGAGGTGACAGGGTCTGGACAGGTTTCTGGGGCTACCCAAGTTCTGTGTGACTGTGTCTGTTGTCTTAGATAAGAGTGGTACCATGGAAGACAGTTTGGGATCCTATCTCTGACATTTACCAACTGTGTAGCCTTCAGAGTTTCCTCACCTTTCTGTGCCTCAGTTGCTTTCTTTGAAACAAGGATAAAGACCACTTGATAAATAAGTGGGAGCGATTAATAGGCTTGTTACCGGCTTGTTTGTACCTTGCCTGATACTAAGTATCATCATCATTATTATTGCTGCTGTTGTTAGTTTCCTCGGTTGTCTCATGTCTGTCAATGATGCGCCAGAATTCTTTTCTCAATGACCATATGCTGGCACTGGGGACAGTGTTGGTTGCATGTTCAAGGCCATAGTAGTTACCTGCCCCTGCTGACCAGGGAAAGCAGCCGCATCTCACCTCACAGTGGAAGAATTTCCTTAACACAGAAACTCACCTACTCTACCTAACAGCCATTTTTATCACTGTCCCCAGGTGAGCACTTGCTGTGTGCAGGCAGCAAGTGTCTAGTATTGACGGGTAACCTCCATCAAGATGCTGAAAAAAATGGCTGGGAATGCAGCTCAGTCGGTAGAGTGCTTGTCTAGCATGCTTGAAGCCCTGGGTTCCATCCCCATCATCTATACACTGGGTGTGGTGGTGGTTCATTCCTATAACTCCACTCTGGAGGTGGAGGCAAGCGGATCAGGAGTTCAAGGCCATCCTCTGCTTCCTAGTAAGTCTTGGGCTAGCCTGAGACTCCTCAGATGAGACCCTCTTTTGGAAAACAAGACAAAAACTCATGGTAAAAAAGAGGTGGGGGGAAATTGGGCATCCAGATGCTTACGAGTCCTCAAACGGGTCAGGAGAGCCCTCCCCCACTCCTCCCTAGACCTGGGTCCTTCTTTCAGTACTCATCTTGGGGTCAGAGTCCACAAATCTCTGTGTGGCCCCTGATGCTATTGTAGACTATACAAACACAAAGTATTATACACTCCTGTCCTGCCAGCACTTAACTTAATAGTGTCCCTGTATACAGTAGGTGCTCAGTGAATGTTAATAAATTAATGATTAGATCCCACCCACCACCATCCCACTTCACTGTACCCTGAGTCTTGCCTGCCTTGATACTCCCTTTGTTGGACATAGCAAATAAACACTTTGTTTCTGCTTATGGTGACTGATGGAGCAGATCCTACAGCTCCAAACCCACGCCTGCCCCCTTTGGCTTCTGTGGTCAAAAGAGACCAGGGCCAAAGTCCTGTGGTGGGTGTGCTCTTCCCCGTGGCAGTCCTGGGTCCCTGGGCAGCATTCAGAAGGCTCAGGACTCATAATCATGGGCAGAAAACCTGCCTCCTTCCCTTCCTACACTGACCTCACCAGCATCCTCCTGAGATCCTCCCTGCCCCAAAATAGCTCTCTTTCCAGCATCCTGCCGCAGACACTGTTTGCCAGGGGAGTGATGGGCTCACAGGCTCAGGGCAGGATGCCAGAGGTCAAATCTCAGGGAGGAGGGCCACAGCAGCCAGAAGTTGAGGAATGGGTGTGGGCTGTTTGCAAGGCACACAGGGCAGGGGGAGGGTCCTGAGAACAGATATATGTACCGTGGGACTTCCTAGACCACTTGAGGCCAATACAAAGATCAGGGAAATTCACCCATTCTCTGTCCTTGTTCCTACTAACAAATGAGGAGCAGGACAATATAGCTCCAGCTGGCAAGGAAACAGCTCCTTCAGGCCCGTCATATTGGAGCTGGGTGGGGCTGGCAGCAGGCATACTGCTGTGGGATCCATCCCTTCTGCCTAGGCCTGGTCTCTAATGGGACAGGGTAACTGGGGTCCTGAATATCAGGCTGAAGGGGTTGGACAGCAGCAGTGAGAATGTGGGGTGATTCCACCAGCCTGCCTGCCAGCCCCAGTACAGGTACATGACTAGAAGATAGACAGAGGAGAGAGGAAAAGTTGCTTTGGCCAGGCCAGTGGGTGATGGCACAGCCATCATGTGGTTTTGGTTCAGACATTCTGTGTGGAACACTGTGAAGTACCAGAGAGCCCCCAAGAAGCCTGAAACAGAAGGAAAACGTCATCTAGGAGGTGGCATACAGAACAAGGAAGCATGATAGAGGGTACATTCGATAAGGGTACAGAATCGCCTGCCACCATGTCCAAAGTCTAAGTGAGGGAACTTCAGAGGGGAAATACCTCTTACTGAGTGTATCACAGGAGCATGGTACAGGGCAGGGAGGTAGCTGTGTTGTCTGTGTCTTATAGATTTCTTCTCTGAGGCCCTGGCAGCTGCTTAGACTTTCGCCAGCACGAAAGGAGAGTGGTTGAGCACAGAGTAGTCCAGTGCAGGTGGTCAGACTGGAGGAGGAGCCACACTTCAGTCCTGCTCACCCACCTCCGGCCACGCCCGGGTTACAGGATGGCCCACGGAAAGCCAGACACACATGTGCTGAGTGGTTCATGTACAGATTGTCATCTTGGCCCCGTGGGTGGGGTGGAAGCAGGAGGATCAGGAGTTTAAGGTAGGCATCAGCTACATGGCAAGTTCAGGACCAGCCCAGTCTCAAAAGGTCAGTAAGTCTTTATTTCCATCGAAGGTGGGAGAAACAACATTGAAGATTCAATAGTCAGACCGTAGGTCCTCCTAGAAAATGCCCAGAATGAAAGCTTTGAGGAATGAGTGCATCTGGGGTTGACCAGAAGTTTAAGGAACATGGAGCCCAGCGTGGTGACAGGAAACAGACGAGCAGGGATTAGAGTAGAAAGAGATGTCAAAACTGCAGGGAGCCAGGCTCTGCTCAGATACTGTTTATCTTGAGAATGATTGACCTCTTTGACCCGATACTCTACAGAAGCAACTTAATGGGGGGAGGGTTGCATTTATTTTGGCTCATGGTTCAGGATGACACGGCCCATCATGAGGGAAGAAAGCATGGCAGAAAGAGGCTTGGTGGCAGCAGGAATGTGAGTAGCCACTTGTTCACACGACACTGGCCAGAAACCAGAGAGACTGGATCAGAAGTATAAAAGTGGCTGTAATCCCCAAGCCCTCTTTGTACTGAACTACTTCCTTTAGATAGGGCAGCTTCCTAAAGGTCCCACCACCTCCCCAAATGTCATCACGTCCTGAGGACGAAGTGTCCAAACATTGGGGACATGTCACATGCAAACCAGAGCATTTGTTAATGACTGCTTAGAGACCAGGGCCCGAGTCATCTTGCATCCAGATTAGCAGAGTGTGATAATCGCCTAATGATGTCTTCTGTGGGTGCAGGGAGGTTAGGAGCAGCTGCATCTTGCACCCAGGCTGTGCTTCCTCACAGAGCATAAATGTAGCATCAGGAAAGGTTTGGGGAGGAAGGATGTGGTCCAGTCCAATGCGTATTTCAAA